AAAAATATGACATACTTCTATTGATAAACAAAGTGAGCTAGGTATAGTACTTTTTACGTTATTCATTTTTTTGTAAATTAATGAAATCGAAACATATGACGAGAATTTTATTTTTTAAAAACATTACACATGTCGGTCATGTGGATGGCAATACGTGTGACGAGGGAGACTGTTGGGTTTACAAGTTGGGGAGGACCTATCAAAAAGGATTAATAAGTTGCTCTCAGCAGCTAAAAAGTATGGCGTGACTTGATCATACTTTGCATTTGCCTTTTATCTCATTATATAGAACAGATACAAAGACATGTGACGGTGAAACAATTGGGTCTATGAATTTTGGAGGACCTATAGCTAGTGAAAGGAATTAAGTTGCTCTCAATAGTTAACTGTATGGCGTGACCTCACCATGCTTTGCTCTTTACTTCTGTCGCATTATATAAAAAAAATACAAACACTGCACATGTGACATGGGTATAGTTTAGTCTACGAGTTGCATATGGAGGACCTATCAAAAGGGCTTAAGATGCCCCTAACAACTAACAATATGGTGTGGCGTGACCACGTTTTGCTCTTTACTTGTATCTCATTGTACAGAATAAAATACCGACACATGTGAGGTGGGACAGTTTAATCTACAGATTGTAGCGGACTTATCCAAAAAGATTACGTTACTCTAAACAGCTAACAATTTGGCGAGATTTGATCACATTTTGATCTTTACTTTTATCTCACTATATAAAAAAACACACTTGTCAAATTGTCCATAGAAGAAATATTTAGAGAGAGGGATGGTGGAGGAGGCTAGGGTAGGCAGCTAGGGTTGTGGGGGTTCACTGTTGCTTGCAAAGTGACAAGAGTGCACGTGGGAGGAATTGCATGGGGTGGACTAGGACCGTTCAGGTGCTATGGGGCCCCACATCGTGTCAAATCGACGTCCCATCGAGTTGACCGCAGAATGCGGGATTCTCGTACGATCTCATCAACTTGTTGTTTTTTTATTTTTACTGAATATTATGACAACAAAAATAATTAGACATATATACTAACAATAATTACATTTGAATTTTACATTTATTATATACGACCATTCATAAGAGCAATCTCTACGAACGAGTTTTTGGATTGTTTTGAAATGAAAAATTATGACGGAGTTTTTTAACAGTTAGGGGTGGAATTTCCTTTTACAAATGGAGTTTTTTAAGAAGAAAAAAAAAATAAAAGAGGTTTACATGTGAGAACGCTTATGTGTCTGTTGGGCGCTTCAAAATGACCGTCATGCTGATTTTAATCTTTGTTTAAAAAAATAAAAATGAATGGAAGTTACATTGCTAGCTTCTTTCTTCTTTTTAATTTTTAAATTTCTACTTATTAAATATTTTAAAATTAAAAGAAATTGAAAATTTTTAATGTAATATATAATTTAATATCATATTATTTGAATTGAAATTTTATAATTATGAATTATCAATTAAATTAAAATTTGACATATTTGGTTTGAATATGAATTATAATAATGATAATTACATTTATAATTATAATTTTTAGATAATAAAAAATAAAAAATAATTAGAATATGGTTTTGTAAATTGATGAGTGCATAAAAAATTTAGAAAAAAAAAAATTCTAAATTATTGAAAACAAGAGTTTTCGAGATTGGATGAGATAGTGAACGATGAGATGGATGTTGGGGTCCACAAAAAACTGAGAAAAAAAAAACTTAATTGCTGATGTTAGTTGCTCTAACAATAGGATTTTTTGGGGGTAATTTTTTAGACAAATTAGATGACGTGGGGAGATATGCAGTAAAAGAAAAAACATTAGTATTAATTTGTGTTTGTGTATGATTTTTTATAAAGTTATAAAAAGAACATATGGTCATCAGTCGGCACAAGTTGCATATGCGCCCACTAAGCTCGTCACCACGTACTGTTACACAGTTTGTTTCCCTTTCTCTTTCTTGATTGTCTTGACAAAAGTTTCACATTTAGATTTTAATGAAGTGGTTGCTCTGATATTCTTTAAACTCAAAAAAGTATTCAGAGATTATCACCAAGGTCGTGTCATTTTGGTTGTCAAAGGTGCAAATATTTTCAATGAAAATGGTCAAATATATAGAGAGCATTCAACCCTAAAAACATATACAATAGGCTTAGAAGAGTTCTAGCTACTACATATATTCTAAATCTCTACTTTCTTACTTTATTTCTTAATGTAATAAACAGTGACAAACTATTTTCATAATGCAAATCTCAAAAAAGTATCTACATTAAAAATATAATTTGAAATTTGATGGAGTGATTTGCATTGTCCTAGCTAATTAACCTCCTTGGTCCCATGTGTAAGCTAAGGGTTTTTTAAAAGTGTTTAGATTATATATATATATATATATATATATATATATATATATATATATATATATATATATATATATAATTACCATTACTTTTTTTTGTTAATATATATGTTTTCAGGCACCCCGCACTAAGCGACCAACTCTACTAAAATGATATTGACAAGAATTGAACTCATAACTTTTTAGTATGAAAATCATACTCCACTTGCTCAGCCACTCTTTCACAATAATTTTTTATATATAATTATATTGCCGATATATATTTTACTTAATCTTCTGCCATATATATATATATTTTACTTAATCAGACATACAATAAGTATCTATAGTTCCTAGACCAACTTAATTAATTTTTTTTTCTGACACCAAAATACAATATAATGGGTTAATGGGACCCCTTCATTATATTGTTCTCACTGAACTTTTTACACATCAACTTATTACAAAGTATATATTTATAATTTATTTTATAACCATAAGTGATTATTATTATTATTGGAATACAGCCTTCATAAAAGTTAAAACTCAAAAGAATATCTTGGGGCAACTCTAGCAAGATTAGTTGAGCTATTGGTTTAGTAACCACATGATTCTCGATTTGAACCAGTCAGTACAGTTATGAACAATCTAGGCTAGTTTATCTTTTTATAATAAAGCGGGTTGCAGCGTAATGATAGAGTGAGCAGGAGACAGCCTGCGGGGTTCCTACCCCTTCCCTCTGACAAAAATAATAATAATAATAATAATAATAATAATAATATAATAATAATAATAATAATAATAATAATAATAATAATAAGGCCGATTGCACCCAAAGCGCACATTTGAATAGTGATTGCAAGCTTTCCACAAATTTATTTTTATGTTTTAAAATTGTCCGTATGTAACATACAATAGCTACTATACATATAGTACAACAAGATTCTCAATTTGAGTCGGCCAACTATAGATAACCTATGCTAGTTACCTCTGTGTAGTCTTTTGTTGGTTAGGGTCGAATTCGAGTTTCACCCAAAGCGTAGATTTGATTAGTGACTATGAGGTTTCCATAATTATTTTTTTAATTTTTTTTTTGAAAATACTGTATATGTAGCATACATACAGTAGCTAGTATGTTCTTCAATCCATTTTCACATGCAATGATCTGAGAACATCATTTCAATATTCAAGAATTGTACAGACTGGAGCTTTCTCATTTTTAGACCGAGTAGTCAAAGGAAATGTTCATAGTTCAACGCCTCACCAACATCACCCAATATCATAGGATTGTTGTCGGGCAGAATTGATATATGATTAACAAATGAACTAACTAAAACAACAATGTTTCATAAGCACACAAGTAGTAGCTAGTTACATCAAATGTATACACACACACACACAATATAATCTTGTTTTTACCTGTTCCCAATTGTGCAGATGTAGCTAGGTTTGACTTTGATTACAAATTTTGCAGATTTTACTATAATTCCAAACCTTTCTTGTTGCTCATTCTTCATCTTCTTCTAATAATTAGGTATATATCCAAAGAAACCTAGCTAAAGAATGTAATTCTCGTTCGTAATCTGGCAATTCATCTTTAATTTCACTCGTAATTTGACACTCTAACGAAGAAAAAGATGACAGAAACACAATAACTAGTAGTGGGATTGAGTTATTCACAAGTAGTCAACGAACAAAAATATGTGAATTAATTAAGAGTTAGACTATAAACCAGCACATATTATATATTAAGATATTTGATCCCATTTAGTGCACCATTATCATTCATCTCAGATCAAGAACTATACCAAGGAAAAACCCATTATTGCATGAATTTTTTGAGTAACGAGGCAACCACTACCTGAATCTGTACACTGAGTAAACTCGCTTTGTGACTAGTCGACACAGAACAACAAAGAGGTAAAGCAACATAGATAACTCATAACTGACTTACTCAAACTAAAAAGGTTAATAAACTTATAAGCAGCTGGAGTTGAACTTGTAATAAGAGAATTTTTAAGGGAAAGGACTTTACAGTTTTCCCACTATACACATGACAGTGGGAGTGATTTAATTTATGAGCCCCAAGAATATATAATAATAATAATAACAAGAACAAAGCTGTAGAAAGGCAGGAGAGAACAGTAGTGCAGAAATGAATTGAAGAACATATACACAGCAAAAGCGAAAAAGAGAGAGTCAGAGAGAATTGAAAGATGTTGCAGAAGAAATCTGCCACTCAACAAAAAGCAAAAACTCTTATCAATACCCAGTAGACTTCACAGTTTAAAGACTCAAAATTCTGTGAAATTCAAACACAAATGATATAATAAAGTAATGGACATATATATATGGTTTAACAGATCAGATCATCCCAGAATTCCACCATTATAACATAATACATGATAATAATTACCCATAGTAAACCTACATACCGCTCCAATATAATAATGTCACTATTATCATCATCATTATTTTTTATTTTTTTGGGTAATCTGGAAAACCCGCAGCCATACTTGAGGGTCTGATTTCGACTTTGTAACCCTAGCCAGAAGTAAACCAGATTAGGTTATTCATTGCAGAACGGCTCAATCCCATTCATTATTATTATTACTATTATGAGATAAAGATGATAGCTTGGGTGAGTGGAAGAATAGTAGGTTTTTTGGGGATATGATGGAATTTGACCTGGTGGTTCACGGCGGCGGAAGTGGCAGAGACGGAGGAGGTTGCGGCGGGCGTTTCCGCTTCTTCTTCTCGTAGCTAATACCTCTGGCTTTGGACTGCAGGTCACGAACCTCTCGGAGATAAAGGCGGACGGCGCGAGCTCCGAAGGGGTTGGTGTCCGGCTTGCCGCCGTTTTCCTCATAGGCGGCTCGGAGGCGGCCAATGAGCGCGTCGAGGCTGCCCCAGGCTTGCCGGAGGGGGCAGGGGCAAGGCGCCGGCGGGTTGGGGTGGCCGTAGAAGGGGCAGATAGGGGTGTGGACTTTCGTCTTCCCGAACTGGTCGAGGTACCGGAGAAATTCCAGCACGTGAGCTCCACTGCACCGGGAGAGCGTGAGCGGCGGCCGGTGGTTTTTCAAGTACTGCCCGAACGTGTTCCAGTCCCGGCGCTTCTGGTTCTCGTACCGGCTAGACGTCGACGCCGCCGCCGGAGAAGAAGACGAAGCCGAACCCGCCGCCGCACCGGCCGCCGCCGAGCTCCCCACACCACCGCTATTCTTCCCCGGATTCAAGCTCTCAACTTCCGGATACGGATCCATCACACACAACCGATTTCTTGAATTCTTTCTTTCTTTCTTTCTCCTCCTTCCCAGCTAGGGTTTCAATTCAAAACCTCATATATCATATATCATATATATAAAACAGAAAACAAAGAACACAAAGGGAAGAGCAGAAGAACACATTCAGAAGAGGCAAAAATAAAGTAAGGGTTTTGATTGATATATCAGAGGATTTCCGTTTGTGAGACTACAGATGGAGACTAGAGAGAGAGAGTGGAAGAGGTTGATGTCGGATATGCATGGATGGATGTTGATGATGATGATGATGAATGATGCTGATGATGATGAGATTGATGTAAGACTAGAAAGCTTGCTGGCAGCTATGTTTCATCATCTTGTTTGAGTGTTTCTTTGTTTCGGGTAATACTATAAAACCAAATGCTACTATTAGCTTTTACACTCTCTACACCTTAAACCAATGGGTTTTTTCCCCATTTGAGGGAAGCAAGCTAATACATATACTTCTCTTTCATTCATATATATGATAGAAATGTTAATATATATATATATATATATATATATATATATATATATATATATATATATATATAGAGAGAGAGATGAGTTCAAATGAGGGCGGGCCACTATATTATAGAGGACTCTGCGGACGGGTGTAGTGGTGTGCCTGGCCTAATGTAGTCATGTACCACAGTTTGTATGTCGTGTGCATAGGTTTGTTAATTAATACAGTCTGGCTTCGAAACCTGATGTTTACATGTATTCTTGTGTGCCATTGTCTATTAAATTGTGTGCATGATACTAATTTGTTGTGTGCCCGTAATCAGTCCGCACAGTCCTCTATATATATAGGGTTGAGTTCACATGAGGACCACAATAGGAAAGGGATGGGGCGGGGTGAGGTGGGCAACTGCCTCTATTATCTCCTTTAGATCTGTCCTTGCTTATATTTGTGTAGTTGTCAGTGTCACGTTTCATGAGAGTAAGAACCAGATTTGTGAGAGGAAAGGGTGGGAGTAGGTTGAGATGGAGAAAAGGAAAAGGTTAATGTAAGGTATATATGGTGTACGTACTAGATAGCTTAGTAGGCAAAGGGATCGGAGCAACATGCCATTTTTTTCAGCTTCTTTCAATTCATATAATCCGATGGGTCGATTCCATCCTCGTTGCCTTGTCCTGTCACTTGCCAAATTACCTCTTTGTTGTTCAATTCAAAGGGCAAATAGGTGAATGAGAGGGGGAGAATATAATTAAGTATATTAGAGCACTTGTAAAAAAGTGTGAGGCATATATATGTTGGTTTTGGATGTTTTTGGAGCTAAGTCTTGATGAATGAGGCTTTAATTTAGGGTTTTTTTTTCGATGTATAATTAAAAAATAATTATGTGCCAAACTAGTATTATTAATGCCCTACCTGAATTCCAATGCACACTGCCGTGTGATGCTTAATATATACAGTTATACACACAAGAAAATATCATCAACAGTAAAGAGGACTAAATGTTCAATTATGGTCATATATATTAATTGACTAATGAATGTTTAATATACTATTGGAAATTATAGAATTTCCGACCACCTGAAATTGATCTTAAATCAAGTCGAAAGTCTTGTTCCGACCACTTTTTGATTTCAACTTAATTTAAGATCACTTTCAGGTGGTCAGAAATTTCATAATTTTCAGTAATGATATATAAATATCCATCCTCAAAACGTGAAATCCCGCACTCACCACTCAGATCTCACATCTCAACTTGACAATATTGTGAAAAGATAAATCATAATTATTTCAGTAGTGTAACATAAATTTATGTTAAAAAAATATAATATAGACCCAACATCTAAAAAATTGATTAAGGTTATCTACTAAAATAAATGATAAAACATCAACACAAGCATCATTATATTCTCCCTTTGATGGATAATATAATGTCTCATCGTCACAAACAGTGTATGTCTGCATCTATACCTTGGCTATACTGTACAGCTATTATATATATACTCCATTTGTTGTATGTTTTATATATAGTTTAATAATTTAATTTCTTTTATTTATAATGGGTTTATAGAGCGAGTAGTCAATTGGTCTAATTATCCAAATTATAAATCTAAGAATTAGGTTTTTGAATTTTGAAGGACGAACTTTATACTAGCTTCAATTTGTTGAGAGAAATTAAATGTCAATCAACGTAATTTGACTTGCAAGAGTCAAATATATTATAGTTTGAAATTGCACCGTGTTACTTGAAAAATAAAAGAGATGTGTTTTTACTCGTTAATTAAATTATGCACCAGTTTCGTTAATTAATTTGACTCGTTTAAGCAAGACTAAATAATAAACGCAGAAAGCATAAAGTAAATTTTAAAAAAAAAAAAAAATTGTTACGCAGTTCGGAGCTCCTTCTCCTACGTCTGCGGGGCAACCCACGTCTGCCCAATCCACTATAGATGTTCACCAAAAGGAGTATTACAAGAGGTAAATGAAGACGGCCTCCAGCCTTTACCATTACCACTCTTTTTAACACATATCCAGGACTGACACACGAAAACCCAAGCAATCTTCACAAGATGCTTCAGCAGTACCACGTACTGATCATGTAGTACAGATTGAATATTCTTAACACTTAAATAATAGATCACAATAAAAATGAATAGCTTAGTAAATCAGGATAGCTCTTGCAAATTATAATAGTAGAATCGGCAATCTCTTCATTCGAGCAGTGCTTTTTTATAGTACTTCATGAGCCCCTTTGTTTGATCCTCAATTGTAGTCTTTTCCTTAGCCTTCCACTGTTCGAATAAGCCACAGCCACTCATATAATTCTTTGAAGCTTTCACCGTAGACTTTATTAACTAATGCATGCTAGCCACTAATTTTGTACTCATATGGTCCATAAAAGAAATAAACCTAACAACACTAATTTAATTTAAAGCTAGTGAGACCAATAAATAAAATAGCCAATATAATGTAAATTATTTTACACTTACATAATTGATTTACACCAATTATACTATTAAAGTACGTAGTTGTCATAGCTATTGTAAAGCACTCTCGTGCCTCTTGACAAACTAGCTTCACTAGCCAAATAAAGAGTACCACATTGATTTACTTGCAAAGTATCATCATGCATGCATGGAAGAGGCTGATTTGAACTAAGTAGGATTATTGGTGGTGAAGACGGCTAATCGGATGGCTCATGAACTAACTAGAGCCTCTTTAGTTCAGGCTAGTATTGAGATTTTGGAGCACGCACCAATCTTCTCGTATTTTCAACATGATTTGTAGTTTTTATATGTTTTGTCCACAAAATAAATAAATAAATAAATCCTTAGCTCTATTGTCTCAATCATCTCCAGGACAATTAATATCACGTTATACTTAACCTTAAAGTATTATTAATGGGCCAATAATGTTAATTAAGCATTTGTGTGTGTGACAGTTGTACATAACATAACCTAGTATAGGGTGACCCTTTTAAGGAATCATCACTGTATGTTTACCCCCCACCCTCACCCTTCTTCCATTCGTTTTTTCTGTACTCCATCATGTCATATCCCTATTTTGTGCAGATCAGATTTTGGAATGGATTTGATAAAATGTGAGGCGAACTTTGGTAAAGTTGGTCGAACAATTGATTTGATAACTATAAAATTTCACATTAAATTTTTAATTTAAGCAGATCAGTTATATAAGTAATCTAGATCGATTATCTCATTGTGGTCTTTTGTTGACTAAAGTCATAAGAAAGTTTCACTCGTGTGTATATTTAAGTAGTGATTTCGAACTTTATCGTAAATTAGAGGATTTCATAAAATGATGAGTTTGAATATTAGTGTGTCACATCTGCACGTCACATTATGTTGGCATCGTACAACAACCTTTGCTCGTGTGATATGATGACAAACTTTAATTTAATTTAGGCTCTGTTTGGTAAAATGACTGTTAGCTGATAGCTGTTTGCTGTTAGGTGATTGTGTTAATTAGAGGGTATAAATAGTTGATAACATTAGCTGATTGTAGAAAATTGTTTGGTAAATTAGCTGTTAGCTGATAGCAGTTTGGTATAATTTCTTTTCTCAAAAAGCTAATTGAAAAAGTTGCTAGGAATAGCTTTTTTAATTTTAGCCTTTTGGAGTAGCAAAAAGCTAATTAACCAAACATTTATATTGATATTTTAACTAAATCAAATAATTAATAGTGATCAAATAAGCTAAAATTGACCTATAGATCAATTTTTTTACCAAACAGGGCCTTAGTCTAATCTAGTATATGGTGCGCCAAGAATGTGAATCACAACGAGCAATGCATAACACACAAAGTGCGCATAAGTACAATACTACAATGCATGGAGTGTACAAATTAAATTCATTACATGCATGACGTGGCATAAGTTCACGTGTGTGTAAATATGTATTCTTTTTTCTTGATATAAGTAGAGAAAGAATCAAATTATAAAATATTGTGATCACGTCACACGAGTTCAATCTCTTGATAAAAAGGGAAAAATTAAAGGTCATTCACTGGGGAGTCTAAGGTGTGTGAGTATGCTTTCTTTGTTGATATAAGGAGAGAAAATCAAATTACAAATATTGTGATCGATCATGTCACACTGATACAATCTATTGTTAGAAAGAGATGAATATCATAAGGCTGGGTGTTGAGGATGTATGGCGGAGGATGCTTTCTCTGTCGATACAAGAGAAGATAGATAGACCCGAATTGCACTAGGTACAAGCTCGATCGAGCAAGAGGCCGGGTGCTGATATGAATTGAACTTGTGACTGGCCTTTAGATATGATCGAGAGTCATTTCTATAGGATTGACTGATCAAACTCATGACCTTTAAAGTACGAGAGTCATTCTCTATCCACTCAGTCTTTCGGGAGTGTGAGTATGCTTTCTTTGTGCATACAAGAAGAGATAAAACCAATTACAAAAAGTTGTGATCACATCACAAGCTAGTGTGAAAAATGGACGAATGCCATTCGATGGGGTGAGTCAAAATGTTGTATTTCTTTTTTTAGTACACAACATGACACCATCATTTTCGTATAAAATTATGTGAACCGTACCAAAAAAGAATTTGCATAAAATGGTAAACTAAATTGTATACAGGAGTAGCACCATACACTCTAAAGAAGAAGAAGAAAAAAAAGTTCAATATATACAGTAACACAATCTGATGTAACAGTAGTAGTACAATAAAAAGCACACTCCATTTTAGACAGAAATTAACGTTAATATACTAATCCTTAAACTTTTTTCTTAACGGCGTCAAATAAGATAATAAAGAAAAATTTTAAATTCCAACCCTAATCGAGTTGATCGAGTAATTAGTTTGATAATTACAATATTTTAAATTTACCCAACTTCTTATTGTCTTTAATATTTACTTCTT